TTGGTATGGGTTGGTATGGGTTGGTATGGGTTGGTTGGTATGGGTTGGTATGGGTTGGTATGGGTTGGTATGGGTTGGTATGGGTTGGTATGGTTGGTTGGTATGGGTTGGTATGGGTTGGTATGGGTTGGTTGGTATGGGTTGGTATGGGTTGGTATGGGTTGGTATGGGTTGGTATGGGTTGGTATGGGTTGGTTGGTATGGGTTGGTATGGGTTGGTATGGGTTGGTTGGTATGGGTTGGTTGGTATGGGTTGGTATGGGTTGGTATGGGTTGGTATGGGTTGGTATGGGTTGGTTGGTATGGGTTGGTTGGTATGGGTTGGTATGGGTTGGTATGGGTTGGTATGGGTTGGTATGGGTTGGTTGGTATGGGTTGGTATGGGTTGGTATGGGTTGGTTGGTATGGGTTGGTATGGGTTGGTTGGTATGGGTTGGTATGGGTTGGTTGGTATGGGTTGGTATGGGTTGGTTGGTATGGGTTGGTATGGGTTGGTATGGGTTGGTATGGGTTGGTATGGGTTGGTATGGGTTGGTATGGGTTGGTATGGGTTGGTTGGTATGGGTTGGTATGGGTTGGTATGGGTTGGTTGGTATGGGTTGGTATGGGTTGGTATGGGTTGGTATGGGTTGGTTGGTATGGGTTGGTATGGGTTGGTATGGGTTGGTATGGGTTGGTATGGGTTGGTATGGGTTGGTATGGGTTGGTTGGTATGGGTTGGTATGGGTTGGTATGGGTTGGTATGGGTTGGTATGGGTTGGTATGGGTTGGTATGGGTTGGTATGGGTTGGTTGGTATGGGTTGGTATGGGTTGGTTGGTATGGGTTGGTATGGGTTGGTTGGTATGGGTTGGTTGGTATGGGTTGGTATGGGTTGGTATGGGTTGGTATGGGTTGGTATGGGTTGGTTGGTATGGGTTGGTATGGGTTGGTTGGTATGGGTTGGTATGGGTTGGTTGGTATGGGTTGGTATGGGTTGGTATGGGTTGGTATGGGTTGGTATGGGTTGGTATGGGTTGGTATGGGTTGGTTGGTATGGGTTGGTATGGGTTGGTATGGGTTGGTATGGGTTGGTATGGGTTGGTATGGGTTGGTATGGGTTGGTTGGTATGGGTTGGTATGGGTTGGTATGGGTTGGTATGGGTTGGTATGGGTTGGTATGGGTTGGTTGGTATGGGTTGGTATGGGTTGGTATGGGTTGGTATGGGTTGGTTGGTATGGGTTGGTATGGGTTGGTATGGGTTGGTATGGGTTGGTTGGTATGGGTTGGTATGGGTTGGTATGGGTTGGTATGGGTTGGTATGGGTTGGTATGGGTTGGTTGGTATGGGTTGGTATGGGTTGGTATGGGTTGGTATGGGTTGGTATGGGTTGGTATGGGTTGGTTGGTATGGGTTGGTATGGGTTGGTTGGTATGGGTTGGTATGGGTTGGTATGGGTTGGTATGGGTTGGTATGGGTTGGTATGGGTTGGTATGGGTTGGTATGGGTTGGTATGGGTTGGTATGGGTTGGTTGGTATGGGTTGGTATGGGTTGGTTGGTATGGGTTGGTATGGGTTGGTTGGTATGGGTTGGTATGGGTTGGTATGGGTTGGTATGGGTTGGTATGGGTTGGTTGGTATGGGTTGGTATGGGTTGGTTGGTATGGGTTGGTATGGGTTGGTATGGGTTGGTATGGGTTGGTATGGGTTGGTATGGGTTGGTATGGGTTGGTTGGTATGGGTTGGTATGGGTTGGTTGGTATGGGTTGGTTGGTATGGGTTGGTTGGTATGGGTTGGTATGGGTTGGTATGGGTTGGTATGGGTTGGTATGGGTTGGTTGGTATGGGTTGGTATGGGTTGGTATGGGTTGGTTGGTATGGGTTGGTATGGGTTGGTTGGTATGGGTTGGTATGGGTTGGTATGGGTTGGTATGGGTTGGTTGGTATGGGTTGGTTGGTATGGGTTGGTTGGTATGGGTTGGTATGGGTTGGTATGGGTTGGTTGGTATGGGTTGGTATGGGTTGGTATGGGTTGGTATGGGTTGGTATGGGTTGGTTGGTATGGGTTGGTATGGGTTGGTATGGGTTGGTATGGGTTGGTTGGTATGGGTTGGTATGGGTTGGTTGGTATGGGTTGGTTGGTATGGGTTGGTATGGGTTGGTATGGGTTGGTTGGTATGGGTTGGTATGGGTTGGTATGGGTTGGTATGGGTTGGTATGGGTTGGTATGGGTTGGTATGGGTTGGTATGGGTTGGTTGGTATGGGTTGGTATGGGTTGGTATGGGTTGGTATGGGTTGGTTGGTATGGGTTGGTATGGGTTGGTATGGGTTGGTATGGGTTGGTTGGTATGGGTTGGTATGGGTTGGTTGGTATGGGTTGGTATGGGTTGGTATGGGTTGGTATGGGTTGGTATGGGTTGGTATGGGTTGGTATGGGTTGGTTGGTATGGGTTGGTATGGGTTGGTATGGGTTGGTATGGGTTGGTTGGTATGGGTTGGTATGGGTTGGTATGGGTTGGTTGGTATGGGTTGGTATGGGTTGGTATGGGTTGGTTGGTATGGGTTGGTATGGGTTGGTATGGGTTGGTTGGTATGGGTTGGTATGGGTTGGTATGGGTTGGTATGGGTTGGTATGGGTTGGTATGGGTTGGTATGGGTTGGTATGGGTTGGTTGGTATGGGTTGGTATGGGTTGGTATGGGTTGGTATGGGTTGGTATGGGTTGGTATGGGTTGGTATGGGTTGGTATGGGTTGGTTGGTATGGGTTGGTATGGGTTGGTTGGTATGGGTTGGTATGGGTTGGTTGGTATGGGTTGGTTGGTATGGGTTGGTATGGGTTGGTATGGGTTGGTATGGGTTGGTATGGGTTGGTTGGTATGGGTTGGTATGGGTTGGTTGGTATGGGTTGGTATGGGTTGGTTGGTATGGGTTGGTATGGGTTGGTATGGGTTGGTATGGGTTGGTATGGGTTGGTATGGGTTGGTATGGGTTGGTTGGTATGGGTTGGTATGGGTTGGTATGGGTTGGTTGGTATGGGTTGGTATGGGTTGGTATGGGTTGGTATGGGTTGGTATGGTTGGTTGGTATGGGTTGGTATGGGTTGGTATGGGTTGGTATGGGTTGGTATGGGTTGGTTGGTATGGGTTGGTATGGGTTGGTTGGTATGGGTTGGTATGGGTTGGTATGGGTTGGTATGGGTTGGTATGGGTTGGTTGGTATGGGTTGGTTGGTATGGGTTGGTATGGGTTGGTTGGTATGGGTTGGTTGGTATGGGTTGGTATGGGTTGGTTGGTATGGGTTGGTATGGGTTGGTATGGGTTGGTATGGGTTGGTATGGGTTGGTATGGGTTGGTATGGGTTGGTATGGGTTGGTATGGGTTGGTTGGTATGGGTTGGTTGGTATGGGTTGGTATGGGTTGGTATGGGTTGGTTGGTATGGGTTGGTATGGGTTGGTTGGTATGGGTTGGTATGGGTTGGTTGGTATGGGTTGGTATGGGTTGGTATGGGTTGGTTGGTATGGGTTGGTATGGGTTGGTATGGGTTGGTATGGGTTGGTATGGGTTGGTATGGGTTGGTTGGTATGGGTTGGTATGGGTTGGTTGGTATGGGTTGGTATGGGTTGGTTGGTATGGGTTGGTTGGTATGGGTTGGTATGGGTTGGTATGGGTTGGTATGGGTTGGGACCTGGCAGGTCCTGGCAGCTCAATACTCCAACCTCTCAAGGTCCTGTCACCCCAGGGTCCTGGCAGTTTAGTATCAATATCCTGTCACATCCTGGCAAGTCAGTGCCATGGCAGGTCCTGGCAGCTCAGTGCCCTGACCTCTCAAGGTCCTGGCAGCTCAGTGACAATGTCCTGGCAGGTCCTGGCATGTCAGCAACAGAGTCCTGGCAGCTCAATGCCCTGGCACCTCAAGGTCCTGGCAGGTCCTGGCAGGTCCTGGCAGCACAGTGACATTACCCTGGCACATCCTGCCACCTAACCACCCTGTCACCTCAACGTCCTGGCAGTTCCGTAACAATGCTCTGACAGGTCCTGGCAGCTCAGTGACAGTGTCCTGGCAGCTCAGGGTCCAGGCAGGTCCTGACACCTCAAGGCCCTGTCAGCTCAGTACCAATGGCCTGACACCTCACCACCCTGACAACTCAAGGTCCTGGCAGCTCAATACCCCAACACCTGAAGGTCATGGCAGCTCAGTGTCAGGGTCCTGACAGGTCAAGGTCTTGGCAGATCAATACCCCGACACATCAAGGTCCTGGCAGCTCAGTGCCAAGGTCCTGGCAGCTCAAGGTCCTGACAACTCAGTGACAATGCCCTGGCAGGTCCTGTCAGCTCAGTAGCAATACCCTGGCAGGTCCTGGCAGCTCCTGACAGCTCAAGGTCCTGACAGCTCAAGGTCCTGGCAGCTCAGTGACAGAGTCCTGACAGGCCCTGGCAGCTCAGTACCAATACCCTGACACCTCACCACCCTGACACCTCAAGGTCCTCACAGCTCAGGGTCCTGACAGGTCCTGGCAGCTCAGAGTCCTGGCAATTCAGTAGCAATGCCCTGGCAGGTCCTGGCAGCTCAATACCCCAACTCATCAAGGTCCTGGCAGCTCAGTACAAATATCCTGGCAGGTCCTGACACCTCAGCACCCTGACACCTCAAGGTCCTGGCAGCTCAGCACCCATACCCTGGCAGGTCCTGGCAGCTCAGTACCAATGCCCTGACACCTGAAGGTCCTGGCAGCTCAATACCCCAACTCATCAAGGACCTGGCAGCTCAATAACCTGACACTTCAAGGTCCTGCCAGCTCAGTACTAAGGTCCTGTCACTTCAAGGTCCTAGCAGCTCAGTACCAATACCCTGGCAGGTCCTGGCAGCTGAGTGTGAGGGTCCTGACAGCTCAAGGCCCTGGCAGCTCAGTGTCCGGGTCCTGACAGCTCAAGGTCCTGGCAAGTCCTGGCAGCTCAACACCCCACCCCCTCCCTCCCCCCACTTCCCCCCCCCCGCAGGTCCTGGCAGCTGCATACTCACTGATGGCCGGGGCGATGCCTCCCACGGATCCGGGCCCGGGGATGTTCCCGGCCACGGCCGCGGCCTGAGCGGCGGCTGCGGCCTGAGCGGTGGCGGCCTGCTGCTGCATCTGCCGGTGGCACTGCCGCAGGTCGAACACCTGAGCGGGACAGGAGGCTTGGGTTAAACCGGTTTAATTGGAAGCGGTTAGTTTCAAACCGGTTAGTTTGGAAACGATTTATTTTAAACCAGTTAGTTTGGAAGTGGTTTAATTGGAAGTGGTTTGATTGGAACTGGTTAGTTTGGAAGCGGTTTAATTGGAAGCAATTTAATTTTTAAGCGTTTCAATTCTAGCCAGTTTAATTCTAAGTGGTTTAATTTCTAACCAGTTTAATTGGAACTGGTTAGTTTCTAACCGGTTTAATTCTAGCCGGTTTAATTTCTAACTGGCTTAATTCAAACTGGTTTAATTCAAACTGGTTTAATTTGAACTGGTTAGTTTCTAACCAGTTTAATTGGAACCGATTTAACTCTGACCAGTTAATTTGTAACCACTTACTTTCAATCTAACCGGTTTAATTCAAACCACTTTAATTCAAACCGGTTTCATTTTAACTGGTTAGTTTTGAACCGGTTAGAAATTAAACCAGTTCCAATTAAACCGGTTAGAATTAAGCCGGTTCCAAACCAACCAGTTCCAATTAAACCGGTCAGAAACTAACCGGTTAGAAATTCAACCAGTTAGAAACTAACCAGTTAGTTTAACTCAAACCACTTAGTTTCTAACCAGTTCCATTCTAACCGGTTTAATTGGAACCGGTTAGTTTGGAACCGGTTAGTTTCAATCTAAGCAGTTTAATTCTAACCGGCTTAATTCTAACTGGTTTAATTGTAGCTGGTTTAATTTCTAAACTGGTTAGTTTCGAACCAGTTTCATTCTAACCAGTTTAATTCAAATGGGTTTAATTCTAACCGGTTAGAATGAAACCGGTTAGAATGGAACTAACTGGTTAGAATGAAACTGGTTCGAAATGAACTGGTTAGAAATTAAACCGGTTAGAACACAACCGGTTAAAATTAAACCAACCGGTCAGAATGAAACCAACCAACAAATGAACGAATCCCACTTGTTATCCCAACAAATCAACAAAAAAAAATACAATAAAAATAAATAAAATAAAATAAAATAAAATAACAGAAAATGAAATGAAATGAAATGAAATGAAATAAAATAAAGTAAAATAAAAATAAAATGAAATAAAACAAATAAATACAATGAAATAAAATAAAATAAAATAAAATAACAGAAAATGAAATGAAATGAAATGAAATGAAATGAAATAATAAAAAAAATGAAATGAAATGAAATGAAATGAAATGAAATAAAATAAAGAAAAATAAAAATGAAATAAAATAAATAAATACAATGAAATAAAATAAAATAAAATAACAGAAAATAAAATAAAATTAATTAAAATGAAATGAAATGAAATAAAACAAAGTAAAATAAAAATAAAATAAAATAACATAAAATAAAATAAATTAAAATAACATAAAATAAAATAAAACAAAAAAAATGAAATAAAATAAAGTAAAATAAAATAAAAATTAAAATAAAATAAAAATAAAATAAAATAAAATAAAATAAAGTAAAATAAAGTAAAACAAAATAAAATAAAATAAAATAAATAAAAAAAAAATTTAAAAATGAAATGAAATGAAATGAAATGAAATAAAATAAAATAAAATGAAATGAAAGGAAAAGAAATAAAATAAAATAAAGATAAAAAACTTAAAATAAAATAAAATAAAATAAATAAGATAAAAATAAAATAAAAAAAATAAAACAAAATGAAACAAAGCGCCGCCCACCTTGATGTAGGCGCTGGGGTAAATCTTGTGCACGGCGTCTCCCGGCGCTCTCCCGGCCTCCCTGTCCAGGTAATAACTCTGCACGAACACGGCGTGGTCGCTCAGGCAGCGAACCCAAACGTCCCCTTCGCCTTTACACTCCAACTGCACTCCCTTCCCGATGTGCAACCTGCGGGGAAAAGAAAAATGGCGGCGTTGGGGGGGCACAAAATGGCGGCGTTGTTGGAAAAAGGACAAAATGGCGGCATCAAAAAAAAGACAAAATGGTGGCGTTGGAAAAAACAGTAAAATGGCGGCATTGAGGGAAAGCAAAATGGCGGCGTTAGGGGAAAGGTAAAATGGCGGAGTTGGAAAAAAGGTAACATGGCGGCGTTGGGGGGACTCAAAATGGCGGCGGGGTGGGAAAAAGCAAAATGGTGTCCGGGGGAAAGTAAAATGGCGGCATAGGAGGAATAACGAAATGGCGTCGTTGGGAAAAAAGGCAAAATGGCGGCGTTGGGGGAAAGGTAAAATGGCGGTGTAGGAGGGACACAAAATGGTGGCGGGGTGGGAAAATGCAAAATGGCGTTGGGGAGAAGGTAAAATGGCGGCGTCGTGAGAAATTTAAAATGGCGGCGTTGGGAGAATTTAAAATGGCGGCGTTGCTGGAAAAACAAAATGGCGGCATCAGGAGAGTGGTAAAATGGTGGTGTTGAAAAAAAGGGGAAATGGCGGCGTTGAGGGAAAAGCAAAATGGCGGCGTAGAGGGAAAGGTAAAATGGCGGTGTTGCAAAAAAGGTAAAATGGCGGCATTGGGGGAAACACAAAATGGCGGCGTTGGGGGAAAAATCAAAATGGCGGCATTGGGGGGAAAAGCAAAATGGCGGTGTTGGATAAAAGGTAAAATGGCGGCGGTGTTGGAAAAAAGGTAAAATGGCGGAGTTGGAAATAAGGTAAAATGGCGGCGTTGGGGGAAAACCAAAATGGCGGCGTTGGAAAAAAGACAAAATGGCGGCATTGGGGGAAAGACAAAATGGCAGAGTTGGAAAAAAGCAAAATGGCGGCGTTGGGGGAAAAGGTAAAATGGCGGCGTTGTTGGAGAAACAAAATGGCGGCATCAGGGAAGAAGTAAAATGGCGGCATTGGGGGGACACAAAATGGTGGTGTTGGGGGGGACACAAAATGGCGGCGGGGTGGGAAAACACAAAATGGCGGCGTTGAGGGGACACAAAGTGGCGGCGCGGTGGGAAAAACAAAATGGCGGCGTTGGGGGGACACAAAATGGCGGCGGGGTGGGAAAACACAAAATGGCGGCGTTGGGGGGACACAAAATGGTGGCAGGGTGGGAAAAAGCAAAATGGCAACAGTGAAAAAGTAAAATGGCGGCGTTGGGGGGACACAAAATGGCGGCGCGGTGGGAAAACGCAAAATGGCGGCGTTGGAAAAAAGGTAAAATGGCGGCGTTGGGGGGACACAAAATGGTGGCATTGGAAAAAAGACAAAATGGCGGATTTGGGGGGAATTTAAAATGGCGGCGTTGGAATAAAGGTAAAATGGGGGCGTTGTTGGAAAAACAAAATGGCGGCGTCAGGAGAGTGGTAAAATGGTGGTGTTGGAAAAAAGGTAAAATGGCGGCGTTGGAAAAAAGGTAAAATGGCGGCGTTGGAAAAAAGGTAAAATGGCGGCGTTGGGGGGACACAAAATGGTGGTGGGGTGGGAAAAAGCAAAATGGCGGTGTTGGGGCAAAACCAAAATGGCGGCGTTGGTGGAAAAGGAAAATGGCGGTGTTGGAAAAAAGGTAAAATGGCGGCGTTGGGGGAAAGTAAAATGGCGGCGTGGGGAGACACAAAATGGCGGCGTTGGTGGAAAAACAAAATGGCGGCGTTGGAAAAAAGGTAAAATAAACAAAATGGCGGCGTTGGGAGGAACACAAAATGGCGGCGTTGGGGGAAAAAAGAAAATGGCAGTGTTGGAAAAAAGGTGAAATGGCGGCGTTGTTGGAAAAACAAAATGGCAGCTTTGAGGGAAAAACAAAATGGCGGCAGGTTAGGAAAAAGCAAAATGGCGGTGTTGGGGGGACACAAAATGGCGGTGGGGTGAGAAAAAGCAAAATGGTGTCGGTGAACAGGTAAAATGGCGGCGTAGAGGGAAAAGCAAAATGGCGGCGTTGGAAAAAAGGCAAAATGGCGGCGTTGGGGGAAATTTAAAATGGCAGCGTTGGGGAAAGTAAAATGGTGGAGTTGGGGGGGACACAAAATGGCGGTGTTGGGGGGACTCAAAATGGCGGCGTTGGGGGAAAAACAATATGGCGGCGTTGGGGGGAAGGTAAAATGGTGGTGTTGGAAAAAAGGGGAAATGGCGGCGTTGGAAAAAAGGCAAAATGAGAGTGTTGGAGAAAAAGCAAAATGGAGGTGTTGGAAAAAAGGTAAAATGGCGGTGTTGGAAAAAAGGTAAAATGGCGGCGTTGGGGGGAAATCTAAAATGGCAGCGTTGGAAAAAAAGGAAAATGGCGGCGTTGGGGGAAAAACAAAATGGCGGCATTAGAATAAAGATAAAATGGCGGCGTTGGAAAAAAGGGAAAATGGCGGCGTTGGTGGAAAAAACAAAATGGCGGCGTTGGGGGAAAAGCAAAATGGCGGAGTTGGGGGGGTGGCAAAATGGCGGCGGGGTGGGAAAAGGCAAAATGGAGTCAGTGAAAAGGTAAAATGGCGGCGTTGGGGGAAAAACAAAATGGCGGCGTTGTTGGAATGAAGGTAAAATGGCGGCGAAGGGGGAAAAGCAAAATGGCGGCGTTGGGGGAAAAACAAAATGGTGGAGTTGGCGGAAAACAAAATGGCGGCGTAGGTGCGGTGATGTCACAGTTGGATGAGGTTTTGTTCCGGTTGTTTGGGAAGAGGAGGAGGAGGGGTAAGTAAAAATAAAGGTAAAAATTGAAATAGAATGAGAAATTAAAATAGAAATAGAAATAGAAATAGAAATAGAAATAGAAATAGAAATAGAAATAGAAAAGAAAATGAAAATAAAAACAGAAATAAACATAAAAATAAAAATAAAAAAAAAAATAAAAAAAAATAGAAAAAAAATAAAAAAAAAAAAGAAAAAAAAAAAAAAAAAAAAAAAAAAAAAAAAAAAAAAAAAAACAGAAATAAAAAAATAAAATAAAAAAAATAAAAATAAAATAAAAATATAATTAAAAAATAAAAATAAAAATAAAAATAAAAAGTAAAAAATAAAATAAAAATAAAAATAAGAATAAAAATAAAAATAAAAAAAAATAAAAAATAACTAAAAATAAAAGTAAAAAAATAAAAAAAAATTTACAAAAATAAGAAATAAAAATAAAAATAAAATAAAAATAAAATAAAAAAATAAAAATAAAAAAAAACCCCAGAGATAAAACCAGAAATAAAAATAGAAATAAAAATAAATAGAAATAGGAATAAAAATAAATATAAAAAAACCTAGAAATAAATATAGAAATAAAAACTAGAAGTAAAAACTTGAAATAGAAACAGAAATCAAAACAGAAATCAAAACAGAAATACAACCAGAAAAAAAAAAGAACTAAATAAAACTAAAAATAACAATAGAAATAGAAGTAAAAATAGAAATAAAAAACAAAAAAATAGAAATAAAAACAGAAATAAAAATAAAAATAGAAATAAAAATAAAGAGAAATAAAAAACAAAAATAAAAGTAAAAATAGAAATAAAAACAGATATAAAAAAATAGAATAAAAATAAGAATACAATAAAAATATAAAAATGAAAATAAGAATAAAAGTAAAAATAAACAAAAATAAAATTAAAATTAAAATACAAATACAGCTACAATTAAAATATAAAATAATAATAGAAATAAAAATAGAAATATAAATAAAAAAAAATTAAAAAGAGAAATAAAAAAATAAAATAAAAATGAAAATAAAACTAAAATAAAAATACCAATAAAACGAAAAACTAAAAACAAAACCAAATAAAAATAAAAATAAAAACGGTAATAAAAAATAAAAATTAAAGACAGAAATAAAAAGTAGAAACAAAAATAGAAACAGAAATAAAAAATAAAAATAGAAATAGAAATAAAAATAAAACTGAAACTTAAAAATAAAAATAAAAATAAAACCGGAGAAGAGCCTTTCACCGATCGGCCGCCGCCATGTTCCCTCCCAGCCCGCCCCTACCTGACTCTCTCGATGGCCTCCGTCCGGTGCACGTTGGAGAGCTGCCCCAGGCAGAACCGGTCCCCGCCGGATGGATCCACGTAACCGTCCACGGTGACCACGGGACAACTGGAGGGGACCTTGAAGGTCTCACCCACCTGAACGTCCATCTCGAAGTAGGCGATGGAGCACCAGTACTCCGGCGCTGAAAAAAAAGAGAAAATTCAAAATTAGTTGGTGAAATTGTCGCCGGTTCGGGGGAGATGTCAGAATTCAAAATTGCGTCGAAAATCCAAAATGGCTGCCGAAATTGTCATTGGTTTGGCGACGCGCTGTCGGAATTCAAAATGGAGGAGAAAATTCAAAATGGCTGCTGAAATTGTCATTGGTTTGGTGACACGCTGTCGGAATTCAAAATGGAGGAGAAAATTCAAAATGGCTGCCGAAATCCTCAGCGGTTTGGCGTCGATGTCGAAATTCAAAATGGTGGAGAAAATCCAAAATGGCTGCCGAAATCGTCACCGGTTTGGTGTCGATGTCGGAATTCAAAATGGCAGAGAAAATCCAAAATGGCTGCTGAAATTGTCATTGGTTTGGCGTCAACGTTGGAATTCAAAATGGCCGACAAATTCCAAAATGGCTGCCGAAATTGTCACCGGTTTGGCAATGCGCTGTTGGAATTCAAAATGGCGGAGAAAATTCAAAATGGCTTCCGAAATTGTCACCGGTTCGGTGGTGACGTGCACTGGTGTTCGGAATTCAAGATGGCAGAGAAAATACAAAATGGCTGCCGAAATTGTCACCGGTTTGGCATTGAGGTTGGAATTCAAAATGGCCGACAAAATCCAAAATGGCTGCCGAAATGGTCATTGGTTTGGCGACACGGTGTTGGAATTCAAAATGGCCGACAAAATCCAAAATGGCTGCCAAAATCAATCGCTGGTTCAGCATTGACATCGGAACACAAAATGGCGTCAACAAAATCCAAAATGGCTGCCGAAATCATCACCGGTTTAGCAACGCCAGTTGTCGGAATTCAAAATGGCGGAGAAAATTCAAAATGGCTGCCGAAATCGTCAGCAGTTTGGTGACACGCTGTCGGAATTCAAAATGGCGTCGAAAATCCAAAATGGCTGCCGAATTCGTCACTGGTTCAACGTCGACGTCGGAACTCAAAATGGCGTTGACAAAATCCAAAATGGCTGACAAAACTGATTGCTGGTTCAGCGTCGATGTTGAAATTCAAAATGGCGGACAAAATCCAAAATGGCTGCTGAAATTGTCACCGGTTTGGCGTCGACGTGCACCAGTTGTTGGAAATCAAAATGGCGGCGACAAAATACAAAATGGCTGCTGAAATTAACACCGGTTCGGCAACACGCTGTCGGAATTCAAAATGGTGTCGAAAATCCAAAATGGCTGCCGAAATCGTCTTTGGTTCAGCGTCGATGTCGGAACTCAAAATGGTGGAGAAAATCTAAAATGGCTGCCGAAACCGATCACTGGTTCAGCATCGACGTTGGAATGCAAAATGGCGGGAAAAATTCAAAATGGCTGCCAAAATCGTCACCGGTTTGGCGTCGACGTCGGAATTCAAAATGGCGGAGAAAATACAAAATGGCTGCCAAAACTGATCGCCGGTTCGGCGTCAACCCACGCCAGTTGTCGGAATTCAAAATGGCTGCCAAAATCCAAAATGGCTGCCGAAATTGTCACCAGTTTGGTGATGCGCTGTTGGAATTCAAAATGGCGGACAAAATTAAAAATGGCTTCCAAAATAGTCATTGGTTTGGCAATGTGCTGTCGGAATTCAAAATGGCGTCGAAAATCCAAAATGGCTGCCAAAAAAATCGCCGGTTTGGCGACACGGTGTTGGAATTCAAAATGGCCGACAAAATTCAAAATGGCTGCCAAAACCGATTGCCAGTTCGGCGATGACGTCAGAATTCAAAATGGCTGACAAAATCCAAAATGGCTGCCGAATTTATTGTGTTTATAGCATAAAAACTATAGAAAAGCGGCATTTAATGGAGGTGATTTGTAATGTATTAATAGATAAATATTAATATATTATATGTAAATATGTAATTATTATATTTATAATTTTCACTCCAATATATATTGGAGAAAAAATATAAATAATATTAAATATATAAATATTTAATGTGTAATGTACCATTAAAAAATATAGAAAGGCGCCATTTAATATAGGTGCTTTACAATATATCAATAAATAAATGTTAATATATTACAAATAAATATATAAATATTATATTTATAATTTTCCCTCCAATATATATTGGGGAAAAAATAAAAATATTTATTGTGTAATGTAGCATATAAAATATAGAAAAGCACCATTTAATATAGCTGGTATAAAATATATTAATAAATTATTATGAATGCATTATATATAAATATATAAATATTATAATTTTCCCTCCAATATATATTGGGAAAAAATATAAATATTTAATGTGTAATGTAGCATAAAAAATATAGAAAAGCACCATTTAATAAAGGTGCTTTAAAATATATTTATATATAAATATTAATAAAGTATATATGAATACATAAATATTATATTTATAATTTTCCCCCGATATATATTGGGGGAAAAATATAAATATTTAATGCGTAATGTAGCATATAGAATTTAATTAATTAACCATTTAATATAGGTGCTTCATAATGTATTTATAAATAAATATTATTATATTATATATAAATATATAAATATTTAATGTATAATGTACCATGTAAAATATAAAAAGGCACAATTTAATTTAGGTAATTGGGGAAAAAAATATAAATATTTCTCACCGGGATGATTCGATATCGGCGGCTGAAATGCGAGTTCGTTGTGAACTGGCCCTTTAAAAAATAAAAAAATTCAATTTTTTCACCCCAAAATTCCTTTTCCTACAGAAAAAATTTAAATTTTCATTTACATAAATTTACATTTGGGGTTTACGTCCAAAATTTGGGGTTTACATCAATAATTTGGGTTTCAGACCCAAAATTTGGGGTTCACATAAAAATTTTGGTGTTTTTTCCCAAAATTTGCGGTTCACGTACAAAATTTGGGGTTCACGTACAAAATTTGGAGTTCACACCCAAAATTTTGGGGTTCACACCCAAAATTTTGGGGTTCACATCAATATGGGGTTCACACCCAAAATTTGGGGTTTTCACCCAAAATTTGGGGTTCATGTCCATAATTTGGGGTTCATATCCAAAATTTTGGGGGTCACACTAAAAATTTGGGGTTCACACCCAAAATTTGGGTTTCAAAAACAAAATTTGGGGTTCACGTGCGAAATTTGGGGTTCTCACACAAAATTTGAGGTTCACATCCAAAATTTGGGGTTCACGTCCAAAATTTGGGGGTTCACGTCCAAAATTTGACGTTTACGTCCAAAATTTTGGGGTTTGCACCCACAATTTTGGGGTTTGCACCCAAATTTTTTGGGTTTTCACCCAAAATTTGGGGTTCACATCAATAATTTGGGGTTCACGTCCAAAATTTGGGGTTCACACCCAAAATTTGGGGTTCACGTCCAAAATTTGACGTATTTGTCCAAAATATTGGGGTTTGCACCCAAAATTTTGGGGTTTGCACCCAAATTTTTTGGGTTTTCACCCAAAATTTTGGGGTTCACGTCCAAAATTTAGGGGCCACAGACAGAATTTGGGGTTCACGTCCAAAATTTGGGGTTCACGTCCAAAATTTTGGGGTTTGCACCCAAATGTTTTGAGTTTTCACCCAAAATTTGGGGTTTCACATCCAAATTTTGGGGTTCATGTCCAAAATTTGGTTTTCACACTCAAAATTTAGGGTTCACGTCCAAAATTTGGGGTTCACACCCAAAATTTGGGATTGAAATTTAAAATTTGCGGTTTATGTCCAAAATTTGGGGTTCACGTCCAAAATTTGGGGTTAACGTCTTAAATTTGGGTGTCACATCCAAAATTTGGGGTTCAAACCTAAAATTTGGGGTTCGCAGCCAAAATTTGGGGTTACAGACAGAATTTTGGGGTTCACGCCTTAAATTTGGGGTTCACATCAATAATTTGGGGTTCAGACCCAAAATTTTGGGGTTCACATCCGAAATTTGGAATTCGCACCCAAAATTTGGGGGTTCACACCCAAAATTTTAGGGTTTTCACCCACAATTTGGGGTTTATGTCCAAAATTTGGGGTTCACGTCCAAAATTTGGGGGTTTTCACCCAAAATGTGGGGTGACTCACAGTAGTGGCCGGGGTGCATCGGGGGGTGGTGCTGCAGGTGCCCGTTCTGGTGATGAGGAACCCCCGGAGCGAACGCCGCCGTCCGATTGGCCGTCCAGCTGGTGGTGGTGTCTGCCGGGAAAATAGACAAAATTAGGAAAAAAGAGCCAAAAAAAAATCAACCAATAATCAGCAAAAATTCAGCCAAAAATCAGCAAGAAACAGCAAAAAAATCAGCCAAAAATTGCCAAAAATTCACCCAAAAATCAGCAAGAAACAGCAAAAAAATCACCCAAAAATCGCCAAAAATCACCAAAAATCCACCCAAAAATTAGCAAAAATCAGCAAAAATCACAAAAAAATCATCAAAAATCCACCCAAAAATCAGCAGAAATAGCAAAATAATTTACCAAAAATCCACCTAAAAATCCACCCAAAAATAAGCAAGAAACACCAAAAAAATCACCCAAAATTCAGCAAAAATCCTCCCAAAAATCATCACAAAATCTGCAAAATTAACCCAAAAATCCACCCAAACTCAGCAAGAAACACAAAAAAATCACCAAAAATCACAAAGAAATCACCAAAAATCCACCCAAAAATCACTAAAAATCAACCCAAAAAGCACCAGAAATCCACCCAAAAATCACAAAAAAAATCACCAAAAATTCACCCAAAAATCATCAAAAATCACCAAAAATCACAAAAAAATCGCCAAAAATCCACCCTAAAATCAGCAAAAATCAACCCAAAAATCACCAAAAATCCACCCAAAAATCTACCCAAAAATCACCAAAAATCACTCAAAAATCACCCAAAAATCCACCTAAAAATCAGCAAGACACGCCACAAAAAATCACCCAAAAATCACCAAAAAAGTCACCAAAAATCCACCCAAAAATCAACAAAAGTCACAAAAAACCCCCAAAAATTTCACCCAAAATCCACCCAAAAGTCAGCAAGAAACAGCAATAAAATGACCCAAAAAATCCACCCAAAAATCCACCCAAAAAAATCATTAAAAAATCACCAAAAAATCGCCAAAAATCCACCCAAAAATCCACCCAAAAATCACCAAAAATCCACCTAAAAATGAGCAAAAATCACAAATACAAATCACCCTAAAATCAGCAAAAATCCCCCCAAAAATCAGCAAAAATCCCCCCAAAAATTACCAAAAATCCACCCAAAAATCAGCAAAATCACCAAAAAAACCACCCAAAAATCCACCCAAAAATCAGCAAGAAACACCAAGAAATTTCCAAAAATCACAAAAAAATCACCAAAAATCCACCCAAAAATCCACCCAAAAATCACCAAAAATCTACCCAAAATCAACCAAAAATCACAAAAAAATCACCAAAAATCCACCCAAAAATCACCAAAAATCCATCAAAAAATCCACCCAAAAATCCACTCAAATATCACCAAAAATCCACCCAAAAATCAGCAAAAATTCGGCAAAAATTCACCCGAAAATTAGCAAGAAACAGCAAAAAAATCACCCAAAAATCAGCAAAAAATCACCCAAAAGTCAGCAAAAAATCAGCAAAAATTCACCCAAAAATTCACTCTAAAATTAGCAAGAAAGAGCAAAAAAATCACCCCAAAATCCACCCAAAAATCCACCCAAAGATCGCTAAAAATCCACCCAAAAAATCCACCCAAAAATCAGCACAAAACACCAAAAAAAATCACCAAAAATCTACCCAAAAATCAGCAAAAATCCAGCAAAAATTCATTCAAAAATCAGCAAGAAACAGCAAAAAAATCACCCAAAAATCACCAAAAATCACCAAAAAATCACTTAAAAATCACCAAAATTCCACCCTAAAATCCACCCAAAAATCAGCAAAAATCACCAAAAAAATCACCCAAAAATCCATCCAAACATCAGCACAAATCACAAAAAAAATCCCCAAAAATCCACTCAAAAAGCACCAAAAATTACCACAAATCCCAAAAACACCTGAAATTTTAATTTCTAATTAATTAATTTCTAATTAATCCTGAAATTGGGATTTTTTGACGCCATTTTAAAACCGGTATTAACTAGGGCCGCCATTTTGAAAATGAGGCCATTTTTAAAAGGACGCCATTCGAAAAATGACATAATTTTGAAAATGAGGCCATTTAAAAACCGATATTAATTAGGGCCGCCATTTTGAAATGACGCCATTTTAAAAAGGACGCCATTTAAAAACCTATATTAATTAGGGCCGCCATTTTAAAAAGGACGCCATTTAAAAACCGATATTAATGAGGGCCGCCACTTTGAAAATGACGCCATTTTAACAATGACGCCATTTTAAAAGCAACGCCCATTTGAAAAATGACGCCATTTGTAAACGGATATTAATTAGGGCGGCCATTTTGAAAAGGATGCCATTTAAAAACTGTTAATAATTAGGGCCGCCATTTTGAAAACGATGCCATTTAAAAAATGACGCCATTTAAAAACTGATATTAATTAGGACCGCCATTTTGAAAATGACTCCATTTTAAAAATTACGCCATTTGTAAACGGATTTTAATTGGGGCCGCCATTTTGAAAATGACTCCATTTTAAAAATGACACCATTTTAAAACTGATATTAAGTAGGGCCGCCATTTTGAAAAAGACGCCATTTTGAATATCGATAGTAATTAGGGCGGCCATTTTGAAAATGACACCATTTTGAAAATGACACCATTTTAAAAACCGATATTAATTAGGGCCGCCATTTTGAAAAATGACGCCGTTTTCAAACCAATATTAATTAGGGCGGCCATTTTGAAAATGAGGCCATCTTAGAAATGACACAATTTTAAAGACGACGCCATTTTGAAAAATGGCGCCATTTTAAAAAATGATATTAATTAGGGTGGCCATTTTGAAAATGACGCCATTTTAAAACTGATATTAATTAGGGCCGCCATTATTAAAATGACACCGTTTTAAAACTGACGCCATTTTAAAACCGATATTAATTAGGGCGGCCATTTTTAAATGACGCCATTTGAAAAAAGACACCATCTTAAAAAATAATTTCTTTCATAAAGAAAGGCTAAAAAACCACCTAAAAATTTACAGTTACCGCCATCTTGAAACAGAAAAACACATTTTTTATGCTGTAAAAAACCCCAAAATCGGAATTTTTTTGCCGTTTCCTTACTGGTGGAGGCCACGGGGATGTTGGGGAAGTTGGTGGTGCCAGTGGTGGCGGCCTCGGCGGGCGGCAGCAGCGCCGGGGCGGCGCCGAAGGGTTCGGCGGCGGCGGCGCCGCGGTTGGCGGGCGGGTGTTGGATGGTCGGCGCCGAAACGGCCTCGGCCGAGGAGAGCGAAGGTTGGGCCTCGTAGTCGTGGGAGTATTCGTCCTTCACCAACATGGCGGAGGGGGCTGGGGGAACACGGAACGGTCATACGTGACGCGTAGGGCGCGGTCATACGTGTGGGAATACATGGGAAGGTCATATGTGGGGGAACAGGGATGGGGGAAAATTGGGGGAAAATGGGGAAAAAATTGGAATTTTTGATGGAAAAAATGGAGGGAAATTTGGGGGAAAATTGGGGGAAATTGGGGAAAAAATGGGAATAAATGGGGTAAAAATTGGGGGAAAATTCGAATTTTTGATGGAAATAATGGGGGGAAAATGAGAATAAAATGGGGGAAAGTTGAGGAAAATTAGGGGGAAATTGGGGAAAATTTTGGGAAAATTGGGCAAAAATGTGGAAAAATTGGAGGAAAATCGGCAAAAAAATCGAATTTTTGATGGAAAAAATGGGGGAAAATTGGGGGAAAATTGGGGGAAAATGCGCAAAAAATTCGAATTTTTAATGGAAAAAATGGGGAAAATTGGGGAAAATTTGGGGAAAATTGGAAGAGAAAATGGGAATAAATGGGGTAAAAATTGGGGACAAATTGGACAAAAACGGGGAAAAAAATAGAACTTTTGATGAAAAAAACGGGGAAAAATTGGAAATAAAATGGGGGAAAATTGGGGGAAAATTGGGAAAAACTTTGGGGGAAAAATTGGGGAAAATTTTGAGTGAAATTGGGGAAAAATTGGGGAAAAAATCGAATTTTTGATGGAAAAATGGGGGAAAATGGGGAAAAATTTGGATTAAAATGGGGATAAAATGGGGAAAATTGGGGGGAAATTGGGGTAAATTTTGGGGGAAATTGGGGAAAATTTTGGGGGAAATTGGGCAAAAATTGGGCAAAAAATTTGAATTTTTGATGGAAAAAATGGGGGAAATTTGGAGGAAATTTGGGGAAAAATTGGGGGGAAAAATCTGGGGAAATTTGGGGAAAAATCGGGGGAAAATTTGGGGGAAATTTGGGGAAAATTGGGAAAAAAATTCGAATTTTTGATGGAAAAAATTTGGGGAAAACGGGGAAAAATTGGGGGAAATTTGGCAGAAAAATTGGGGGAAAATGTGGAAAAATTGGAGGAAAATTTGGGGAAATTTTTGGGATGGTCATACATGGAAATACATGGGATGGTCATACATGACACACAGGGATGGTCATATGTGGGGGACACATGGGATGGTCATATGTGTGGGAATACATGGGAAGGTCATACATGACACACAGGGATGGTCATATGTGGGGGGATATATGGGATGGTCATACATGACACACATAGGAATGGTCATACGTGTGGGAATACATGGGAAGGTCATACGTGGGGGAAAACATGGGATGGTCATATGTGTGGGAATACATGGGAAGGTCATACATGGAAATACATGGGAAGGTCATATGTGTGGGAATACATGGGATGGTCATATGTGGGGAACAGGGATGGGGGAAAATTGGGGAAAATGGGGAAAAAAGTCGGATTTTTGATGGAAAAATGGGGGAAATTGGGGAAAATTGGGGGGAAATTGGGGGAAATTGGGGGAAAATAGGAAAAAAAAAGGGAATAAATGGGGGAAATTCGGCAAAAAAATCGAATTTTTGAAGGAAAAAATGGAGAAAATGAGAATAAAATGGGAAAAATTGGGCAAAAATTGGGCAAAGAAATCGAATTTTTGAAGGAAAAAATGGGGGAAATGAGACTAAAATAGGGGAAAATTGGGGAAACTTTTGGGGGAAATTGGGGGAAAATTGGGGGAAATTTTGGGAAAATTTTGGGAAACTTGGGGAAAAAATTGGGCAAAAAATTCGAATTTTTGATGGAAAAAGTGGGGGGAAAATGGGGATAAATTTGGGGAAAATTTGGAGAAAATTGGGGAAAATTGAAGAAAAAATGGGAATAAATGGGGAAAATTGGGGGAAAATGGGCAAAAAAATCGAATTTTTGATGGAAAAAATGGGGGGGAAATGGGGAAAAATTTGGGAAAATTGGGGAAAATTTTGGGGGAAATTAGGGATAAATGTGGAAAAAATTGGGGGAAAATTGGGGAAAAATTGGGAAAAAATTTGAATTTTTGAAGAAAAAAACGGGGAAAAAATTGGAGGAAAATTTGGAGAAAACTGGGGAAAAATGTGGAAAAACCGGGAAAAAATGGGAACAAATGGGGAAAAATTGGGGAAACATTGGGGAAAATTTTGGGGGAAATTGGGGGAAAATTGGGCAAAAAATTCAAATTGTTGATGGAAAAATGGGGGAAAATTGGGGAAAAATCTGGAAAATTTGGGGGAACAATCGGGGAAAATTTTGGGAAAATT